GTAACATGTGTACATGGTAATTTCACAGCTTCAGATCGAGCTTCTAAATCGAGTTATAAATACTATTTGATAGTATTAATCATCAATCCTACCTGTCTACTATCAGGCCTCTTCTCCCCTCTCAATGGGTTTATCTAAGATCTACCTCAACCTCTTCTGTGCCATCATCGCCCTTCTTGGTCTGGCTCTCACTGCTATCATCGCTGGTGTCCTCATTTACCCCATAACCCGTCCTATTCCAGCTTGGTACGTCTACCTCGCCGGCTTCGCCCTCTCGATCAGTCTGCTGATCTTCGCTGCATTGGGTATCAGCCGTTCCTCGACGATCAAAGCCTATCGTGAGGGCATCTCCAGTGTGCTTTTCATCGCTATCATTTACGCTGCTCTCACTACATTTGCCGGTCTATGGCTATCCAGCTGGGCTGCGGATTTCTTCGAAGTCGCTCGTAACGGTATTGACTCTACCAAGTTGTCCAAGGCTGCTATCTCCATCATTACTGAGGTTGAAAAAGACTTCACTGGCGTCTACGTGAACGCTGGGTGCCATTTTGGAGGACAGATGACTCGAAATTTTGATGGTAAATTCTCGAAAGTACAATGTGATCATGAGCTAACACAGAAGGCTTTGAACGCTGTCGCCACCACTCCTCAGCCGGCTAAGGAGTCTGGCAGGGAATATCTCATGTGCTTGTCGTTTCCAAGACAGCAGGCGAACAACGTTAAAGGCGTGGTGAGTAATGGGACCCTGTGGCTTCCTCTACAACTATTAACTACCCTATAAGTCTGCTCTGTTTGAGATCTTACAGTTGATGATCATAACTCAATCCACGTAGAGTTGTTGAGGGTATTCATTCTCCAACGTCCATGAGTCAAAGTTGGGATAGTCGCTCGTGGATATTTATAAATGGACGAGAGTACAACATGTGTGTTATTCGAGTTGGTTTTCCTCAGACTGGCCTCTGGTGTAGAACAGGACAAGCGATGGTGAATAACATCGCAGCTATCACCCTCTGGTCAGCCGTCATCATGTTTGTGGTGGCACTTCTTTTCCTACTTGCTGCAGCTGCTACATGGCGACAGAAGAGGAAGGGCATTAGGGAACAGGTGGGCTCATGCGGTCGTGTTACTGATCATTCCTCATTCTCAGATGCCTCGTGGCTTTGGTGAAACTGCGCCTTTGATGGTTCCAGGCGCGAGAGTGGTATATGCTTAGAATGTCTTTGTTGATGATTAAATGTTCATCAATCGTGGTTTGTCGAATTCCAGTGCTCCCAATGAGTATCTATAGCTCAGCTACTTCACCAGCTTCATCAACTAATTGTGCTATCCAGCCCTTGGCCTTTTCCACTACACCGCTCCCTTCCATTGCACCCGATCGAGGCCGTTATAATATGTTATGTCGAACTACCAACATTGAGCTCCACTCGTTATGAAATGATCTATTCGAACTAGTATCCGTGAATACAACCATAGGCCGAGGAGGAGGCGCACAGAGGGTGAATAGATTCAACTTGACCACCCACGTTTGATGTTAAAACCAAAGAGTGAACTGCTCATGGCATTCCGCTTTGGTGGTTATGGGGTGACCACACAGTGTGTGAGAATTGATGGTTAGGAGGAGACCCTAGCCGACGAGTACAGGTTGACACAGAGGGGATCTTGGAGTAGTGGCATAGCCGCCCCGCTCCGAGGAATCTATCTTACTGAGGCGTATCTTGGAGTAGTGGCATAGCCGCCCCACTTTGAGGGATTGATCTTACTGAGGCGTATCTTGGAGTAGTGGCATAGCCGCCCCACTTTGAGGGATTGATCTTACTGAGGCGTATCTTGGAGTAGTGGCATAGCCGCCCCGCTTACCGACATTGAATCCCCCGCGTATATAAGCCCATGGCTACATCAATCCCCTCCTCCTCCTCCATGACATCATTGGATGATTAGCTATGCACGCATGCACAAGAAGGAGATAGAATGGATGTGTGATGTGGCAGTAGAGCACCAGGCCATGATAACACTCATGAGCTTATAGGGGTAGCTAAGGAGACTTAAGGGGGAGTGACTTAAAAGGAGAGGGCGAACTATCATTAGCTGTGGATGATCTTAGGAAGCACGCAAGCACATAGATGGGCTCAGAATCCCATAACAAACTGTACCGTCGGGGGGTACTACAGGTGTGCTCCACTAATAAATAGAGCTTATCCAGTAATAAAGAGAGGAGCCGCCTCAGGAGCTCCTAGTGGGGATTCAACATAGACACCTTCGGCCTAGAATTCTCAGTATCAATGTCTCCCTGCACGCATGCACGATATTGTGACGCGGCTAAGGTGGGGCTTGAAACTCCTATCACTAGAGCTTTTGACCACTTCAATGACTGACACGGACAGTATATCAGCATCGGATTCCCACAAGCAGTTCGAGGATGCGAAGCCCAAGGGTAAGGTTCTCCTAGATTTTGACACAGCTCCCCTACCACCAAGAGGCAATGTTCTCACCGGTTGGTCGACTTTGACCAAGTCGATCATCGGAGCTGGTATGCTGAGCTTTTCTGATGCACAGGCTGTTTGTGGGTGGGCATTGGGTCTCGTCCTTCTGGTCGTCTTTGCCCTCTTATCTCACTTCTCCTTACACCTGATAAGCAGGTGTGCCATGAAGATGCCCGGTAAAAGGCTGAGCTACAGTACCTTCGCTGTGTTTGCTGGTTATCCAAGCATGCCACTATTCATCGACTCCCTCATGTTCATCCACAATGCCGGTATCGATACCGCTTACCTACAGGTCTTTTCTAGCCTTGGTTTGGCCCTTATCGAAACCTGGTCCCCCGGTTCAACAAGCGAGACTAGATTCTGGATCCGAGTTGGTCTCATCGGTTTCATCCTCCTTCTGCTCTTGCCCATCTGTTTCCTCAAGAGAATAACATACACTGCCATCACCAACTTCATCGGACTCTGCCTTTTCCTCTATGCAGTAGCTGCCGGTGTTATCTACTCCTTCAGTGTAGACGAACAAGTCGGGGAGCGCTACGTCGGGATACCGCCGACCACAACCATTTGGTCGATTTTGTCGGTTTTTCCGATCTTCATTTTCGGCTACTCTTGTCACTTCAATCTGCCTTCGGTTGCCGAGGATATGGTCAACCGCGACATGAAGAAGTTGACTACCACATCGGTCTCCTCTATAGCGGTCGCCCTTATCTTCTACGCCCTCGCAATGACAGCGCCTTACTACGCTTTTGGTGATACAGTCGAGTCCAACTTTTACCTCAACTTGCCGATATCCAACATCGCCATACACATCGGTTATATCGCTCTACCATTCGCCGTGCTCACTGCGTTCCCATTGTTGCTCTTCCCAGCAAGGCAGTCCATCTCGAGTGTTGTGACCTATTACTTCCCTAATCTACAGGATACCCTAAAGTTGCATATCGGAACGACAGTATCATTCCTAATCATCTGTACGGTTCTGGCAATCATCTTTGAGGACCTTGGTGTTACCATTCAGTTCATCGGCATCATCGGTACCAACTTCCTCGCTTTTGTAATACCCTGCTTTGTCTACTTGAACATATGCCTCGTGCGCCCGGGTGAGGGTAGTGCTGATCGGAAGGCATCGTGGAGGGAAGTGTTCGGCCATCAGTCTGTTGAATGGTATCTAGCCTTAACCCTCTTTGTCACTAGTATACTCTTTTTCCCTCTCTGCCTCACAGGACTATTGTACAGCCTCATTGTCAGTTGAATGGTGTCTATAAAAGACACAACATTCCTGATAGTTTTTTCACCAAAGTGGTGATAACCATTGTTTCCGCGCAAGCAGGAAAACTCTGGTTTTCTTTCATCAGAGATTCGGATCTCGTTATTAGAGGATTATCTTATATAAAGGGGGAATTATCACATCACTTTTCTCGCTATCAAGTTTCACATCTCCCCGAGGTTTTGAATAGTGTTGCTAAGTTATCCACATCGGGGGTTCGAAATCTTGGGAGTTTACAACTATTGCTGGCCGCTTTTGAGATGATGAATATGAAATATCCAGCGCGTGGTCGGACGTAGAGTGGTGGAGCGACAGACCGGAACCCATGGAGGCATGTGGCATGCGGGTGAAACTGGAGACCAAAGTCACTGGACGCTTCATTCGCCCCAATGTGTTAATAATACATTTATCAGGATCGTCACGTGCCTTGGTGGAAGACAAAAATTTAAAACTTTTTACGCCTGTCGAGATCAAAGATAATAAACTTCGCGTTCCGTTTGCATTGAATATCAGTGACTTTCACGACGCATTCATCATCAATTCTCCCTCTCACATTTGGATGATATTCTCCCAAAGACAAGCCAGTTAAGATGCTCTTTTTGAATGACATGCAGGCCATGATATTCTGAGCCCTTTTGGGTTGTACGATACACCGTTGGAGATTACTGTAAATGTCCACCTCATTATTCGCAACGTTCGGTGTACTCATCTCAAAACAAGTCTCCCTTCGTCGTGTTGCTACAATGAAGTTTTAGCCGTTTGACCCAGTACTTGATAGTATGTGAAAAACGTCGGTGAGATGTGTGTTCTCGCGAAGTGAATTGTGAGCATGTTTTTTTTCATATCACAGGTGGAACTTAACGCAACAGAGGCGCTCATATGACATCACCGAAAGATATATGCAGACAAAACGAGACGTACACTCCGGTCTCCCGGTCATCTCGATGTACTTATCATTCTACGCGGTTACACGCATTGCTAATTGCATTGTCGCTTCCCTCATTCAAAGTGCTCGGTTCGAGATTGCTATCTAAGGCCTTTAAGCACCCCCCGGTTGTGATCGCGCGCGCCTTCCTTAAAATGTTGTTACTGTTACTAATCGCTGCGAAAGACCGATGGAATTCCATCATACCAACTACTGCAACAACAACAACAACAACAACCAATTTCGCGTTTAAAGTTGGAAACGTCAGTTCACTTCTTCTGCTCCGAGACTCCTCATCCGAATGGCGGCCAAGCGTGATGCGATAAAGCGCATAAATATCTCGCCCTAACACGGAAGCGCATACACGTACGGGGAAATTGGTGGGCGGAGGAGAACTAAAATCCAATCTTTCCCAATAAAGAGCAAACGCCATTCAGTTGAAAGCCTATGAACTTCCAATCTGATAAGCCCAGCATTGTTCGCATATTCACACTTAGAATGATATAGGTCGGCTTTGGAGATTTCAAGCCGACATACGAAGTGTATCCTTCACATTGAATATTAAAAACGGCGCTAACAGAAATCTTTCATAGTAGTATTCTTGCCTCGCCGTTTCGGTCCTTCAACACATCCATCGCTTTTCCATCTAGTTCATGCAATTGGACGATATCTCCTTCCAACTTCAACTCCGATTCGATCGCCTGCACACAGCCCGAGGGAGCCTGAAAAGCCCCGAGAAAGATTCGAACCAGAGTGACTACCACTAAAACAAGATGCTCTACCACTAGACCATCTCATCACCCCAAACAGACGCTACCTCGTCCTTTCGTCCGTTAATCAATACCACTCTTTGAGTAACTCGGCGTTTCTCCTCCGGACCTGATTCCCATCCACTAACATAGGCCACTTTCAACCCACCCCTACACGCCAACGGCAACTCGTCCGGACTTAACACAAACAAACCCGCAAATTCCTCTTCCATTCTCCTCCCAATCTCCAACGCAATAGTACCTTACAAAAATGGCAAACATGAAACGCTTCGCTCCGCCCTCACCTCCTTGGCCAACACCAAGGAAAGCAATTTCGTTGCTTTTCCATCCACATGTTTGTATCAGCGACGATGCGATATATTCCGACAATCGATTCACCGCGTTAACGGCGGAGTCCTTCAACGAATTCTGATACAAAACTTCATCCGAAAAACCAAATAAACCACAACGATAATCTTCAAAACTCTTTAACATTTTGTCCATCTCTCGAGAAAAAAAAGTGAAACCTCAACCAGTTTTGAATAGGACTTTCCATACAGTACGCGCAAACTGAGCGGGAAAGTTCATTGCGTCTTAAGACAAGTTTCGAGCAAATTCTTTTACCATTGTTGTTCATGAGGTTAGGTTGAAAGATGAACTTCTTTTCATAATGATTGTTGTAGATGGCGAGTACTGTATTGAATATTGAAATTAGATCATTCGAATTTGAAAGCGATTGATATTGCAACTGTGTTGGAGTAGGAATATATGTAATCGCTTTCCTCAGCTGCTGAGCTCAGAAGAGTTTCCTATACAGTGTTGGAGTAGTAGGAATATATGTAATCGCTTTCCTCACCTGCTGAGCTCAGAAGAGTTTCCTATACAGTGTTGGAGTAGGAATATATGTAATCGCTTTCCTCACCTGCTGAGCTCAGGAGAGTTTCCTATACAGTGTTGGAGTAGGAATATATGTAATC